GTAAGAGGTGGACCTATGGAGTGTGTGGGACCTCTTCAGCAGGGCAAGTGGGTCCACTTTAGTGGGGCAGGGCATGCGCTCAGGGCAGGACTAGTGGATGGGTGTGTGGGCCTGCAAGCAGTGGGTCTTGTCAGCTATAACAGACTAGTGCTTCTCAAATAGTCACATAGGGGATCTGCCCCACCTTCCAATGCCTGAAACAATTGTGTGCTGCACACTTGGGGCCAGCCCCACCCAGCTGCTTTATTAAGAGAGCTGACAAGAGCCTTGCAGGCTGGAGGACTAAAGCAATTGTGAGCCCTGAGCCTAGCATCCAGCCACACTGGAGGCCTACTCACTTAACAGAAAAACTGCAGCAGGAATGTACTATTACACTTTGCAGCCAACTGTGCTGGGTCTCCCCCTGCCCAATAAACTGACTGAAGGGATGATAGCAGCCACACACAGATGAGCCTCACAACCAGCTGGCCCGGGGGACAGCCTAGTCTTCCCATGCACGTGCAGTAAGAACAACCCCACCACAACAGAAGGACATGCGTAGCTCACAGAGGGACTCTCCTGGAACATTTGGAATTGGTGATGAGAAGGAAGTACATTACTGGGCCTCATAAGGCATCTCTTACATAAGGCCCCTTCTCCAAGATCAGCAGACACAGCTGATCTACCTAAAACATAGTTATAAGCACAGAGAAACATGAGCAGAGAAAGGAATATGTTCCAAATAAGGGAACAGGACAAATCCTCAGAAAAAGAACTAAATGAAACAGATAATCTACCTGATAAAGAGTACAAACTAATAGTTATAAGGATGCTCACTGATCTTGGGGGAAAGAATAGATGAATACAGTGAGAACTTCAACAAAGAACTGGAAAATACAAAAAAGAACCAATCAGAACTGAAGAATGTAATAATGGAAATGAAAAATTCACTAGAGGGAATCAATAACAGAGTAGATGATACAGAAGAACAGATCAGGGGTCCAGCCCCATGGCAGAGTGGTTAAGTTCACGCATTCCACTTCAGCAGCCCAGGGTTTTGTCAGTTCGGATCCTGGGTGCGGACATGGCACTGCTCATTAGGCCACATTAAGGCGGTGTCCCACATACCACACAAGGACCCACAACTAAAATATACAACTATGTACTTGGGGGATTTGGGGAGAAAAGGCAGAAAAAAAAAGAAGAACAGATCAGCGAGTTGGACAAAAGTCTAGAGGAAATCACCCAAGCTGAACAGAAAAAAGAAAAAAATTAAAAAGAATAAGGACAGTCTAAGGGAGTTCTGAGACAACATCAAGTGCACTAACATCCATATTATAGGTGTCCCAGAAGGAGAAGAGAGAGACAATGGGGCAGAGAATCTATTCAAAGAAATAATAGCTGAAAACTTTCCTAACCTAAGGAAGGAACAGACATCCAGGTACAGGAAGCAGAGAGAGCACCAAACAAGATGAACCCAAAGAGGCCACACCAAGACACATTATAATTAAAGTGTCAGCAACTAAAGACAAAGAGAGAATCCTAAAAGCTGCAAGAGAAAGGCAACAAGTTACATACATAGGCTATCAGCTGACTTCTCAGCAGAAACCTTACAGGCTAGGAGGAAGTGGCACAATCTATTTAAAGTGCTGAAAGGAAAAAACCTACAGCCAAGAATACTCTACTCAGCAAGGTTCTCATTCAGAAGGAAAGGAGAGAGAAAGAGTTTTCCAGACAAGCAAAAACTAAAGGAGTTTATCACCAAGAAACAAGCCTTACAAGAAATGTTAAAGGGACTTATTTTAGTGGAAAAGAGAAGACCAAAAATAGTAATAAGAAAATTATAAATAATAATAATAAAATCACTGGTAAAGGCAAATTATAGAAAAGGTAGGAGATCAACCACCTATGAAGCTAATACGAAGGTCAAAAGACAAAAGTACTAAAATTATCTATTTCCAAGATAAGATGTTAACAGATACACACACACAAAAGAAATACTAAAGGAAGTTCTTCAGGCTGAAAAGAAGTGACACCAGACAGTAACTTGAAGCCACATGAAGAAAATAAATAGCACAAGTAAAGGTAATTATGCAGGTAATTATAAAAGCATAACTGCATATTCTCCTTCTCTTAATTAATTTAAAAAACAATTTCAGGGGCTAGCCCGGTGGCACAGTGGTCAAGTTCGCATGCTCTGCTTCAGTGGCCCAGGGTTTGCCAGTTTGGATCCTGGGTACGTACCTAGCACCACTTATCAAGCCATGCTGAGGTGGCATCTCACATATAAAAGAGAGAAAGATGGGCACAGATGTTAGATCAGGGCCAATCTTCCTCAAAAGATAAATAAAAAATTTTTAAAAACAATTTCATAAAATGATATGTATATAATTGTATTTTGGGCCTACAACATATAAAAATGTAATATATTTGACAATAGCAGCACAAAGGAGGCAGGCTGAAATGAAGCTGTATTTAAGCAAGGAAATAACACCAGATGGTAACTCAGATCAGATCCACAGGAAGAAATGGAGAGAACCACACAAATGGTAAATAGGTAATATAAGAAACTCTATGAATATACTTCATCTACTTTCTTCTTTCAGTTTTTGGACCCCTTCCTCACACCATTTACAAAATTAACTCAAAATGGGTCATAAACCTAAATGTAAGACCTATAAAGCTCTTAAAAGAAGACAGGAGTAAATCTTTATGACACTGGGTTAGGTAATGGTTTCTTAGCTACAATGCCAAAAGCACAAGCACGAAAGAAAAAAATAGATAAGTTAAACTTCATCAAAATGAAAAACTTCTGTGCTGCAAAAAATACCATCAAGAAAGTGAAAAGAAAACCCACAGGATGAGAGAAAATATCTGCAAGTCATAAATCTGATAAGAGATTTGAATCCAAAATACATAAAGAATTCTTACCACTCAATGATAAAAAGATAATTCAATTAAAAACTGGCTGAAGGACATCTATAGACATTTCTCTGAAAAAGATAGATATGTAGCCAATAAGCACATGAAAAGATGCTCAGTGTCAGTCATCAGGGAAATTCAAATCAAAACCACAATGAATATCACTGCATGCCCATTAGGATGGCCATTAAAAAAACACACCTGAAAATAACAGGTGTTGGTGAAAACATACAGAAATTGGAACCCTCACATATACGTTGTTGGTGGAAATTTAAAATAGTGCAGCCACTCGGCAAAGAGTTTGGCAGTTTCTGTAAATGTTAAACACAGAGTTACCATATATATAGCCCACAATTCCACTTTTAGCTATATGTCCAAAAGAAAAGAAAACATACATTCACACAAAAACTTGTATATGAATGTTCATAGCAACATTATTCGTAATAGCCAAAAAGTAGAAACAACCCAAATATCCATCAACTGATGGATGGATAAATAAAACGAAGTACATCCATACAAGGAAACATTATTCAGCTATAAAAAGAAACAAAGGACTGATAACATGCTACATGAATCTTGAAAATATTACTAAAATTAAAGAAGCCAGTCACAAAAGACCAGATATTATGTGATCTCTTTTGTATGAAATGTCCAGAACAGGCAAATTCACAGAAGACGGTAGAACAGTGGTTGCCTAGGGCTGGAGGGTGGGAGTGGGGTGAGGTGGGGAATGGAGAAGGATTCCTAACGGGTACAGGGTTTCCTTCTGGGTTGACGAGAATTTTCTCAAATTATTGTGCCGACGGTTACACAACTCCGTGAATATACTATAAACCATTACACTTCAAATGGGTGAATTATATAGTGTGTGAATTATATCCCAATAGAGCTGTTAAAAAAATTAACAAGAAAACTAAAATATACTAAGTAGTGAATGCTGGACTTTTAAAAATTGATTTCATGTTTTACTTTTAATCTAATGAATATCAACACAAACAAATAAGAGCCACAGAAATTCAGCAGGGAGAGAGAACATGGACTTTTTGCTGTAACTTTCTTCCTGGCCACCCTGTACTGAGACAGGCTGTTTTGCAGAGCCCGTTGGCTCTCCATCAAGGATACGATGCAGAAGCCAGAACAAAACTGAGTTGAATGTAACAATCCTCTGGCTTTTGGGCCATTGTAGGTAGGTCTGGGGCCACACACACTGCCAGGCACATTTCAGGCCCATTCAACACAATGACACTAATAACTGTGCTAGTGGCTTTAGAGGTTGACAAAGTATTGCTCTACGCGGTCCTATCTGATCACCACAACAAGGGCTGTGACGTCTGGTTCACAGATGTAGAAACTGAGTCCTGTGTAATTAAAAGGCTTGTTCAAGGCTAGAAACTGGAAACGCCAAACCTGATGCCAGGGCTTCCGACTACAAGTCCAGTGCTCTTCTTCCCCTACCTTCCAAAAAACGTTCCCTTTGAGTCACATCCTAGGTGCATTTAACTTGCGGAAATTCAACAAAATTCTCCCAAAGGATGAGAATGTTAAATCGCAACGTAGATGTAAGGAACTCAGATGACGCCATACATCTTTTCACACAGTGACCACAGGCCCTGGAGTGGGCCCAGGACAGAGGTCACAGGTCACAGGTCTGCCATGCCAGCATCAGGGTACCAAGTTAGAGTTACCCGTGTAAAGAGCTCTCTCTCCTTTACAGAGAAGACTATATTTTGGCGTGCGTACTTTTTCTCATATCAGTTAAGTTACTACATTCATTACGCATTTTTTGTGAGGTTATGCAACCAACACTTTAAATATTGTACTTTATGGGTCACTTAAGGAATTACTGAGGGTGATTTGGACTTTGCATGCCTTCTCTTATGAGCTGACTCTAGAAGCTAACCCAGCAGTGAAAGGCAGCACCGCTGGATGTGAGTCTCCAGGCGCCACTTCCTCCTTTGGTGGCCCAGAGCTATTTTTGGTTTTTATGGTCTAAGCTTTTCTAGATAAAAACTAAGGTGGCTTAGATCTTGGTGAACATTCACTCAAGCCCTTGCAGACAGAAAGAGACACCAGAAACACCATGTTTTACCCTCTCCTACCTCCTCCACTTGTATGGTTTCTCTCTCAATTTTTTCAAGTAACTCATTTCTCAGCAAGATCTCTTTGTTCAGACTGCTGGACATTTCCATTGCTCGTTGTAGCTTGCTCTGAAATAGAACAACACGGCAAGTCTTAAGCAAAGATGATTGCTCAGGACTACAAGGAGGATAGATAGTTCTTTATCAAGCAGGAGAAACGTGGGACCGTCCAGGAACTTGGGCCTGCCCTTCTCACAGCTGCCCAGATTTTCAGAATTCTGGTGCCTAACTTGCCCGGGGGGAGAGGACCTCAGGAGTCTTGTCCTCACCTGCGGAGTGGCCAGACACACCAGGACCCAAATCCTGCCCCGCCACTTACTGGGAGAAACTCTGGACAAGTCCCAGGGTCACCTCAGAGGGTGGTGGAGAGGCTTAAAGGAGATAATCCTGGTAAGGCGCATAGCACAGTGCCTGACACATGGAAAAAGTGCAAACAGCTGCCATTACTACCTCCCTCAGATGACGAGGGAGGAACAGCCCCCAGGAGGCAGGTGCTACTGCCATCCCCACTTTACAGGGAAGGGAACTGACTCTCACAGAGATGAAGCAATTTGCCCAAGGTCATAGAGACAAGGGGGAGCCAGGATTTGAATCCAGGCAGTGTGATTTCATCGCCCACAGGCTCCACCACTGTCTGCAGTGCCCATCAGGGCTGGGCCCATTGGTGTGGGAGGAATCCTCCAGGAGGTGCCCTGCCGTTTCCTGTTGCATCATTTGCTGCTGCCCTTCACCAGCTCTCCCCGGATCCCTGCTTCTTAGACTTGCCCCCTTTGGACATCTGTCTCCCAGTGGGGAAGAGTCAGCCTAGAGGAGCTGGGATATGCTCTGCTTGGCTGAGGAGTGGGCCAAGGCACAGGAGTCTGACTTCAGGGAGCTTGTTCAACAAACCCTGACAACCCAACCACCCTAAACCAGGCACCGGTCAGTGAAACAATGCAGGTCCTGTCACCAAGAGGCTGGCTCACAGCCAGGATGGAGGTGCAAGAAGAAATGTAAAACTGCCTTTGTGCCACGCACTAAGAATGCAAGGACGTCGTCGAGAGGGTTTCCTTGGGGGAAGGGAAGCAGGAAAGAGCTGAAAGGTTAAGTCAAGTATGTCTAGGTGAGAGGGAAGGGAAGAACATTCCAAGCTAACGAAAGGCCTAGGAGAGCAGGGTCCAAAAGGAGTTGGGGGAGGAGGGTGCTGGCAATGCCCCAGGGTATTAAATCTTAGACCAGCAGAAAAGCCTGGAGGCACCTGCCTGGGGGATCTTAGGGTACCTGGGGGTCATCCCCTCCCCAACCCCCTTCTCTCCAATCCTCCCTGTTTTAAGGCTCATGTCCTGCTCCACGTCCTGTGTGAAACTGCTCTGCTTAGGAAAGCAAAAGCAGATAAGAGACCAGACTGAGACGTTGGCTGCGGGGAAGGGAGGCGGGCAGGACTTCACTGCAAACCAGCAGCTCAGGTGGGAGCAAAGGAGGACGGAGAGAAGACATTCACCCACAACTTCAGAGAGTCGGGGCAGGAAAGACGGGAACTGCTAGGGCAACCTCGAGATGTCACTGGCTTTGCGGGGGCTGGGCCTTCGCGAAGGTGTGAGGGGCACTATCTGTGATTCTGAACAGGACATCGGTCACTTGAGGCGGCTACTTCTGAAAAGGGAAGTATTAGCTTTCTCTTGCATAATAAATTACCACAGATTTTGTAGCTTAAAGCACACACATTTATTCTCTCACAGTTTCTATAGGCCAGAAGTCCAGGCACAATGTGGCTGGATTCTCTGCCCAGGGTCCCACAGGGCTGGAATCAAGGTGTTGGCCAGGATGGTTGGTCTCATCTGGAGTCCTCTTCCAAGCTCACGAGTTGTTAGCAGAATGCGTTTCCTTGAAGCTGTAAGACTGAGGTCCCCGTTTTCTTTCTGGCTGTCAGCAGAAGTTGGCCCTCAGCTCTTCAAGGCCACCCTCAGACCCCTCTCATGTGGTCCCTCTCTCTTTCTCTCTCTCTCTATATACTTTTTTAGTATGCTTTTGGTGAGGAAGATTGGCCCTGAGCTAATATCTCTTGCCAATCTTCCTCTTTCTATTTTTTCTCCTCAAAGCCCCAGTTTGTAGTTGTATATCCCAGTTGTACATCATTCTAGTTCTTCCATGTGGGATGCTGCCACAGCATGGCTTGATGAGTGGCGTGTAGGTCCACACCCAGGATCCAAACTGGCAAATGCTGGGCCACTGAAGCAGAATGCCGAACTTAACCACCTGGCCATGGAGCCAGCCCCTGGTCCCTCTATCTTAAAGCCAGCAATGGAGAACTAGCCCAGAGAATTCCCTTCATGCTTCAGATCCCTGACTTCTTCCAGCGAAAACTCTCTGCTTTCAAAGGGCTCGTGTGGTGTACAGCTATACCACCCTGAATGTGCCCGATCTCACTGAAGGGCTCATGTGATTAGGTCAGGCCCACCCAGATAATCTCCCTCTCTTAAGGTCAACTGTGCCATTTAATGGAACACAACCCAGTAACAGAACCTGTCCTATCCACAGTCCTGGGGATTGTACACGGTGTATTCACCAGGGGCAGAGAGACTTTGGGGACATCTTAGAATTCTGCCAACCACAAGGCACAAGATCACCAGTCTAAAGTCAGCTAAGAGTGACACATCACAGCTGCGGTCACATGCTTGTATTCTACCAGACTCCACCAGGCAGGGCTTGGGGGAAAAAGGTCAGAGAAAAAGGTGCCCCCTGGACTGAGGCTTACTCACAAAACTCACAGAAAAGAGGCCGGTCTGTCTCCTTCACGGCTGTACCCTCAGCACTCAGCCGTGTGCCTGGCACGCGGTAGCTACTTGGTATGTTTGGTAGTGGAGGAAGTTATGCTGCATGCTTTTCACAAGGTCTCACACTTGGGTGTTTGATGGTTATATGAAAGCGGCCCCTCCTGCCGCCCTCATCCCCTAAGCACACACCTGAATCGCTAGCAGTTCAGTCAACAATAGTGGCTGAGCACCTGCTTTAGCCAGGCACCGTCCTCAGTGCTGGGGACACAGCACACACCAGCCAGATCTCCATCCTGGTGGCGAGTCACAAAAACCTGCCTCCGAGGGGTGAAGCATCATGCCCAGGGGCCCCAGTGCAGCCCCCATTCAAACCCAAGTGAGGCCTGACTCCACAGCTCACAGTTGTTCTGCCTCCGTTTCCCCCAGGAGACCTGAGAACTGAGACATGCAAGAAGCGAGTCTGCTTCTCCCTCAAGCCCTCACCGCGTCCACCCTGAAACTCTGCGGGCATCTCCTCCCCATCTGCTTACTACTATTCGAAACAGGCCTACAGGCATGAGGGGCCCCAAGACTCCGACTGGAATGGCTCCTGTTCTGCCTGCTGTGGCGTGTGTCACTGCTGCTCGGGTATCGCAAATAATCTGCACTATGCATTCAGACCTGTCCTAAGGAGCTCAAGCCGTGAACCTGGCAGTTTCATTTTATAAACCACTAGCTCCACTCCAAACCCCTGGCTTTTCCCCCAGAAGACCAGACAGGCCCCGTGCTACTTAGTTGATTCCTCAGGGTAAGATTAAGGTCCAATGTGATGTAACCATGCGGTGCCCAGCTCTCCGGGCAGCAAGGGCCTGGGAGTCAGGGGCCTTGGCTTCATCTTGAAATAACAGTGATCAGATAGGCTAACTACTGATGACGTAAGATCAAAGTGGATGATCTGTTGGACGTTCACGACTCATGAATTTCAGACTGCCAACACAATATTGTCTACATGCTTCACTGTGGGGAAGGCCATTGGGTTAGGGGGACACATACTGGACTAGGAGTCCCAGCTCAGTCACAAACTTGTTGCTTTGAATCTGGCAATTACTCTGCCTCCTTGGGCCTCAGGTTTTTCATTTGTAAGAGGAAAATGTTAGACAAACATGAGCCTAGTCTAAACACATTCACATTTCTAAATGACACTGTGCGGGCCAAAAGAAGCCACCTGTGACCTACCTCAGCCCACTGCCCCCTGGGCACTAGGCCACAGGTCAGGGACCTTGCTCTGTAAAAGGCCAGATGGCAAATATTTTAGGCTTTGCAGACCAAGAGGCAAAATTGAGAATATTATGTAGTTACTTATATTAACAAGAAAAAAACAAATTTCTGCAAATGTTTTATTGATGAAATTCAAAATATGATAATTAAGCACAATATTTTGGAATACAGGTCTACTAATGAGAAGAATGAAATTTCTGGGGGGAAAACCAATTTTGCTTAATTTGGTTTCAAAGGTAATGTAGTCTTATCAAATCGGTTGCAAATGTTCTTCTGTAAAAGCCATTCTTAGCGCATCGGCTAGTGGGCAGCTACACTGGCCCAGTTTGCTGACTATCGCATTAGATGGTTGCTAGCAGGGGGACCGGACAGCCTGGTCTGCTGGGGACAGGTCCTGCTCATGCCTACAGTCCTGCTTAATTGCTAATAGTGTCTCTTTCTCTCCCGAAAGGGTTCTGTGTAGATGAGGCATTGGCAGTAGTTTTCTCACTTACAGCTGAGACGGTTTTCCCTTGCAGGGTTCTAAGCAGGGAAGTGCTTATTATATGCCTGAATTAAACAGGGCCCTAAGTGTCATTAGTTCTCAAGCTCATTGTGCATAAAAATCATCTGGGGAGTTAAAAAAAACCCTATGCATAACCATCACCCCCTAATTCAATTGCTCAGGATGGGACTAGGGTGTCTGTATATCTATGAAAGAACAAAAAGCTCCTGCTTTTGATGCACAGCCAGGGTTGTGGGAACATTCAGGGAATTTTAGGAGACATGGCTTTGTCAAGAGAAATCGGGGGGCAGTGGAAGAGTGAAGGACAACTAAGCTCTCTGTGAAACTGCAGTGGTGCACGGGAACCTCCCTGTGGCCAGGAGGGTGGGTGCAGGAAGCCTCAGGGACTTGGACATTGGGGTGGACCTTACTTTGTATGTGTTGAGGACTTGCAGGGTATTTCCAGATGCCAACTTTAGCTGGATCAGTTCTTGATTCCTTGTTTCAATCGCCTCTAAAAACTGAGCATTCTCGATCTTCAGCTGCTGAAAATCAACATCGTGTAGGGCCTCACCCACCTCTTCCTTCTACAGCTCAGAAAGAAGACAGAAAGGATGTGAGGTTGTGACTTTGGAACGTATGGCTCACACCTTGCAACTCATCATTCAGTCATTCAATGAACATGACTGGTGCCAGGCATGGTGCTAGGCACTAGGGATAGAGATTTGTATAAAAGCAATACTCCTTGGCCTCAGGGAGCACACACTCAATGAGTGTCCACAGACAGGTCACAGGTATTTACTCAACAGTGTGACGTAGCGGGACGTGCAGGGGCTGGGGGCACAAGGAAGCCCCTCAGCTAGGCCAGGGGAGAATGGAAGGTTGGGCCAAGGGAGGCTTCCCACAGGAGGGCGTGCCTGAACAAGGCTGTGAAAAAAGAGTAGGAAGAAGGCCATTTAAAAGTGGTTTTAACCTGGAAAGCCCAGGACAAGAAGCCCATAAATTCCCCTCCTTTGATCACATGCCACTTCTGCACTGCAGGTGTACGTGTTAGTATGGAAGGTGCTCTCCCTGACCCGGCCCCACGTTACCTGCACCACCAGTTCTGTGCCAACTTACATTCGTAGTAGGCAACAGCCAAACTTGGGGACTGTTCCCCAGCCCCACTCTGCTCACGCTGTACTACCTCCTGGGAGCCATCTTCTTCCCACAATTTCCTTAAGCCCAATATGACCCATTCTCCAGCTCAAATGCTCCCAACCCGTCTCCCACTCGGGGGGGTACTCCCTCCCTCCACTGAGCCTCTGCTGGCTGTAGCTCCGTGGTCCTTGTTGCTGTCACCTTTGCAGAGCAGTTACACATCCATGCCTTTTCTCACCATCACCACTCCCCGCTAGTCTAGAGCTCGTGAGGGCGGGACCATGTCAGTGTCATCTTGATGCAGCAAGGGCTTTTAGGTTAAAAGTCATCCATCTACCCCACATCTCACGCTTAAACCTCCTCTTTGGGATGCCTCAGCTTATGTGATGCCCGGAAGACCCGGAATTCACTATCTGGAGGCAGCTCATCCCTATCTCCGGCAGCTCCACTGGGGCCATGTTCTTTCTTACACTGAACTCAAATCTCCTTCACTGACACGTCCACATTTGGCCCTAGCTCCACCCTTGGGGTTCTCTCTCAGAGACAGCAGCCATGGCCCTCCTGGGCCCATCGGTTCCAGGTCCTCTGATGTACTTTCTGCTCCCCTTGCTCTTGGCTCCCTCTCCTATCTGGCTTCTGGTTTACCAATTCTTTCAAGTGTGGAGCTCTCACTCAGACACAGTGCTCCAGGTCGACCTACTCAGAACAGAGCAGAGCAGGACTATCCCCTTCTTGGTGGTGCACTGTGGTTCTCCGAGTACAGCCTAGGCCACAGCATCACCTCCAGCTGAGCTGACTTTATCAGGTAGTCTACAGCTAAGCCATGTGGTACCTGTGCAGATATTTTGGGAGATCCAAGTGGACGATCTTACATTTGTCCTTAGTCACTTCATGTTAGAGCTATCCCAGCTTGTTGAGTCTTTCAGGATCCCAGGTCAATTGAGCAATAGTCGCCAGACATGTTACTGCTCCTGCCCAACTTTGTGTCATTGTCAGTGGCCACCTCTGATGCACATGGCATCACTGCGCATACTCAAGTTAATAATAAAAATATTGAGTTAGGAAAGGATGGCGCCATGTAACCAATTCTAGAGGACCTGTGCCATGTCTGCCTGACTGCCTTTAATCAAGAGACTTTAGGGTCAGCTGTTCAAAGAGTCACCAAAGCATACTATAACTGTGCCACGCAGGTCACATTCCCCAAGAGGGTCAACAAGGATGTCATGAGGATCTTTTAAATTCAAGCCAACTCCATCTACAGATTTGCCAGCACAGTAACTATATGAGTTTCCTACTGTTGTAACAAATCACCACAAACTCAGTGGCTTAAAACACCACAAATCTATTATCTTACAGCTCATGAGATCAGAAATCTGAAATGGTTCTTTAGGCTAAAATCAAGGTGTTGGCAGGGCTGCATTCCTTCTGGAGGTGCTAGAGGAGAATCTGTTTCCTTGCCATTTCCAGCTTCTACAGGTGGCCTGCATTCCTTGGTTCATGACCTCTTCTTCTGTCTTAAAAGCACATCCATCAGATCTGATCTCTGCTTCTTTTATCACGTCTTCTCTGACTCTCACTCTCCTGCTTCCCTCTTATAAGGACCCCTGTGATTACACTGGACCTACTCAGATAATCCAAGATAATCTCCCCATCTCAAGATCCTGACTTAATCACACCTGCAAAATTCTTTTGCCATGTGAAGTAACATAGTCACAGATTCAGAAATTAGGATGAGGATGTCTCTGGGAGGACATTGTTCCACCTACCCCAGTAACCTTAAAAAAAAAAAAAAAGCCACATACCTGCCTCAATTGTGAAAGCACCTTTTTCCTCTGGACTTTGAGGGAAACGTTTTTTAAACGTAATTTATCCTTTATACTATCCTAAAAAAATAAAAGCAAATTTTAATACATTTCTCTTCATCTTGCTTGTTGGTTTGAAAACTTGGTAGATCTGGGGCTGCAAACCAAACCTTGAGCCTTAAGATTCAGTCGTTTATTTTTAGTTCATTTTACATCTAGCCAAGCTAGTGTTGCTATAGCACCTCACTCATGACCAAGAAGCAGAGAAAATTGGGTCTGCTCCATGTAAATTTTCTATTGCTTTTAAGTTCAAAATAATTTCAGTAACGGGGCCTTTCCTGACAAAATGATCTTAGGATTCCTTGGTATTTTATTCTCTTGGTAGTTTACATAATTTTTATTACTTATAACACATTAGGATCAGTAACCCTACCTATCTCCAAGATCCAAAGCTTGACATGCTATAAAATCTTTAAAAGTGAAGGACCATTTTATGTCTCCCTCTTATAATAATGGCACTCAAAGAGCCTGAGATTTACCTGTCCCACTCCATGAAGTCTTTGACTAGACAGACTCACATCTCTCTCAAGAAAATGCATCAGATCTTGAAACAAATAACAATAAGAAATAAGTCGATCTGAGATACTATTAATATTCACTCTGCCTGATTGATTTTAGCCTTGATAAACCTGAATTTTAAGACACACATTATGGGGGGTGCAAAAGATCTGTATATCTAGGCAACATTTATGGTGGACCAAACGGAGTTAGGCTGACTCACCTGGATCATCTTCATGTCATCATTCTATGAATCTATTCTCCCTTCCTAAGTTCTAAGCTCCTGCCAACTCACCCTCCGGCGGTTCATATCCTCAATGTACTTCATCACCTTCTGAGTGGCCAAAATACTCCCTTTCTTCTTGGATATGGTTTTTACAACATCTTTTTCAAACTCATGCACCTCTCGCTGAACTTCAGCCCATCGAATTTCTGCTTCCTCAATGATAGCCTGGGGGAGTCAGCACAAAGAGAGAACAGAGTTTCCAAAAATTCTCAAGGATATATCCCTCTAAGGAAATCTAAGTTCTCAGGCCTCTTTGTGTCCCAATGCATAATGGTTGTTCTTAGTCTTTGAAAGACATCCTTAAGATACAAACTTGACTATATGAACGTTATTTTTAAGAAGCATGCCTCCCAGGGCCCACTGTGCCATGTGAGCCCTGTCCGTGGGAATTATCCACACTGGTGGCAGCTGAACACTCACAAAGGAGCCCCACCCACCAAGCACAGCAGCTTGGCCCATCTGCCCGTGAGCACACAGCCAGCCAGCTCATGAAAGAAAGCAGCCCTGCCATCTAATGCAGCAGCTCAGCTGGTCCCCCACTGAGTGCAGTGGCCCCACCTGCATGAGAGCAACATGCCATCAGAGCACAGAGGCCCCACCTGAATGCGCATGTGTGACCCACCAAGCAGCTGCAGACAGCCCTCATGAACGTGGAGCAGCCCTACCCACAAAACTTCCAGCAGACAGGGTGGGATCACAAAACACAGCTCCTGCTCTCTCCCAGTGGCAGCAGGTAGAATCTGCAACCTGATACTACCACAAAGGCACCAACAAAGGATCATTCATCAGACACCATGAAGAACTACAGTAACAGCTCAGAGCAGAAGGAAAATGAAAAGTTGCCAGAAACCAATCCTGAAGTCACAGAAATTTACAATCTATATAGTAGAGAATTTAAAACAGTTGTCATAAAGAAATTCAACAAGTTACAAGAAAATTCAGAAAGACAGTTCAGTAAGCTCAGGAATAAAATTAATGAGCAGAAGGAATACTTTGCCAAAGAGACTGAAACTCTAAAAAAAAACCCCAAACAAACGTTGGAGATAAAGAACACAATTATTGAGATAACAAATAATCTAGAAACCATAAAAAATAGAGCTGATGTTATGGAGGACAGAATTAGTGAATCAGAATAAAAATATAGAAATGCTCCAGGTAGAGAAGGAAAGAGAATTAAAATTTTTAAAAAATGAAGAAATTCTTTGAGAAATATCTGGCTCAATTAGGAAAGGCAACATAAGGATTACAGGTATTCAAGAGGGAGAAAGGAGCAGAGAGCTTATCCAAAGAAATAATAGCTGAGAACTTCCCAAACCTGGGGAAAGCAGTGGACTTACAAGTACATGAAGTGAACAGAACTCCTAATTATATCAATACAGAAAGACCTTCTCCAAGGCATATAATATTAAAACTAGCAAAAGTCAATGACAAAGAAAAAATATTAACGGCAGTAAGGCAGAAGAGAATAATCTACAAAGGGACCCCTATCAGGCTTTCAGCGGATTTCACAGCAGAACCCTTACAGGCTATGAGAATATGGAATGATATATTCAAAATACTGAAAGACAAGCACTTTCAGCCAAGAACACTCTATCCAGTGAAACTATCCGTCAGATACAATGGAAAAATAAAAGCTTTCACAGATAAACAAAAGCTGAGGGAGTTCATCACCATTAGGCCTGCCTTACAAGAAAAGTTGAAAGGAGCCCTCCCATCTGAAACTAAAAAGCAAATTTTTACAAAACTTCAAGCAAGGAGATAAAGAGAATCAGAAAATTGCAGCTCTATATCAGAAAAGGTTAGTAAACACTTAATTATAACATAAAAGATAAAGGAAAGGAAAGCATCAAAAATAACTTAAAACACTTCAATTTAGTCACGAACTCACAACACAAAAAAGAATAGTTTGTGACAACAATAACTCAGAAGAGGAAGATGGAAGAGATGGAATCTGCTTAGGCTAACGGAGAAAAGAGGCTACCAAAAAACGGACTATCTCATCTATGAAATCTTTCATACAAACCTCATGATAACCACTAAAAAAAATCGGAGCAGAGCCACAAATCATAAATAAGGAGACAACTAAGAAAACCATCACAGAAAACCGTCAAACTGAAATGGCAGTCAGAAATACAAGGAAAAAACTGTGGAAATAGAGAATAACTGGAAAACAAGTGATAAAATGGCAGTATTAAGCCCTCATATATCAATAATCACTCTAAATATAAATAGATTGAATTCTCCAATCAAAAGACACAGAGTGGCTGGATGGATTAAAAAACATGACCCAACAATACGCTGCCTCCAGGAAATACATCTCAGCTGTAAAGACAAATACAGGCTCAGAGTGAAGGGATAGAAGACAATACTCCAAGCAAATGGCAAACAGAAGAAATCAGGTGTTGCCCATAGACAAAGCAGACTTCAAGATAAAAAGCACAATGAGAGACAAAGAAGGGTAATATGTAGTGATAAAAGGGACATTCCACCAAGAGAACATAACACTTTTGAATATATATGCATCTAACACAGGAGCACCAAAGTATATAAAGCAATTATTAATAGACATAAAGGTAGAAATTGATAGAAACACAATAATAGTAGGGGACCTCAACACCCCACTACATCGATTGTTACATCATCCAGACAGAAAGTCAACAAGGAAAGAGTGGCCTTAAATGAAACACTAGGCCACACAGACTGAATAGATACATAGAGAATACTCCATCCAAAAACAGAAGAACACACATTCTTCTCAAGTTCACATGGAACATTCTCAAAGACAGATCATATGTTGGGAAACAAGGCAAGGCTCAATAAATTTAATAAGACTGAAATCATATCAAGCATCTTTTCCAACCATAATACTATGAAACTAGAAATCAACTACAAGAAAAAAGCTGGGAAAGCCACAAATATGTGAAACTAAATAACATGCTACTGAACAACCAATGGATCAATGAAGAAATCAAAGGAGAAATTAAAAAATATCTGTAGACAAAGGAAAATGAAAGTACATCATACAAACTCATGAGATGCACCAAAAGTGGTCTCTAGAGGGAAACTCATAGCAATACAGGCCCACCTTAACAAACAAGAAAAATTTCAAATAAGTAATCTTTAACTACACCCAACAGAATTAGAAAAAGAAGAACAAACAAAGCCCAAAGCCAGCAGAAGGAGGGAAAAAATAAAAATTAGAGCAGAATAAATGAAACAGAGACTGAAAAAAAAATAGAAACGATCAATGAAACAAAGAGCTGGTTTTTTGAGAAGATAAACAAAACTGACAAACCCTCAGCCAGACTCAATAGGGAAAAAATAGAGAAGGCTCAAATAAACAAAATTAGAATTGAGAGAGGAAAATTACAATGGATACCACAGAAATACAAAGGATTATAGGAGAAGACTATTAAAAACTATATGCCAACAAATTGGACAATCTAGAAGAAATGGATAAATTCTTAGATTGACACAATCTCCCAAAACTGAATCAAGAAGAAATAAAGAATCTGGAATAGACCAATCATAGTACAGAGATTGAAACAATAATCAAAAACCTCCCAAAAATCAAAGCCCAGGGTCAGATGGCTTCTCTGGAGAATTCTACTAATCATTAAAAGAAGAGTTAATATCTATCCTTCTCAAACTGTTCCAAAAAACTGAAGAAGATGGAATACTTCCTACCACATTCTACAAAGACAATATTACCCTGATCCCAAAGCCAGACAAGGACAACACAAAGAAGGAAAACTACAGGCCAATATACCTGATGAATATAGATGCAAAAATCCTCAACAAAATATTGGCAAACCAAATTCAGCAATACATTAAAAGAATTGTACACCGTAATCAAGTGAGATTTATATCAGGGATGCAGGGATGGTTCAACATCTGCAAATCAATCAAGGTGATACACCACATTAACAAAATAAGGAATAAAAATGACATGATCATCAACAAACAGAGAGAAAGCACTTGACAAGATCCAACATCCATTTATAATAAAAACTCTCAATAAAATGGATACAGAAGGAAAGTACCTCAACATAATAAAGGCCATATATGACAAACCCACAGCCAACATCATACTCAATGGTAGAAAATGAGAACAAGAACAGACAAGGGTGCCCACTTTCACCACTCCTATTCAATATAGTACTGGAGGTTTTGGCCAGAGTAATTGGGCAAGAAAAAGAAATAAAAGGTATCCAAATTGGAAAAGAAGAAGTAAAACTCTCGCTATTTGCAGACGACATGATTCTATATGTAGAAAACCCTGAAGAATCCATCAGAAAACAATTAGAAATAATCAACAACTACAGCAAAGATGCAGGGTACAAAATAACTTATGAAAATCAGTTGCATTTCTATACTCTAATAACAAACTAACAGAAAGAGAACTCAATAATACAATCCCATTTACAATCATAACAAAAAGAATAAAATATGTACGAATAAGTTTAACCAAGGAGGGAAAAAGACCTATACACTGAAAAGTATAAGACATTATTGAAAGAAATCAAAGAAGACAGAAAGAAATGGAAAGACATTCCATGTTCATGGATTGGAAGAATAACATAGTTAAAATGTCCATATTACCTCAAGCAATCTACAGATTCAATGCAATCCCAATCAGAATCCCAATGACATTCTTCACAGAAACAGAACAAAGAATCCTAAAATTTATATGGAACAAGAAAAGACCCCAAATAGCCAAAGCAATCCTGAGAAAAAAAGAACAAAGCTGGAGGCATCACAATCCCTGACTTCAAAATATACTACAAAGCTACAATAATCAAAACAGCATGGTACTGGTATAAAAAGGGACACACAGATTAATAGAATAAAACTGAAAGCCCAGAAATAAAACCACACATCTATGGACAACTAATCTTCGACAAAGGAGCCAAGAACAAACAATAGAGAAAGGAAAGTCTCTCCAATAAATGTGTTGGGAAAACTGGACAGCCACACACAAAAGAATGAAAGTAGACCATTATCTTATACCATACACTCGAAGTGGATTAAAGATTTGAATGCAAAATCATAAAACTCATACAGGAAAATATAGGCAGTACACTCTTTGACATCGGTCTTAGCAGCATCTTTTTGAATACGATCTCTACTCAGGCAAGGGAAACAAAAGAAAAAATAAACAAATGAGACTACATCAGACTAAAGAGCTTCTGCAAGGCAAAGGAAACCAGGAATAAAATGAAAAGACAATCCACCAACTGGGAGAAAATATTTGTGAATCATATATCTGACAAGGGATTAATCTCCAAAATATAGAAAGAACTCATACAACTCAATAACAAAAAAAACAACCCAATCAAAAACAGGCAGAGGATATGAACAGACATTTTTCCAAAGGAGATATAAAGATGGCCAACAGGTACACGAAAAAATGTTCAACATCACTAATTATTAGGGAAACGCAAGTTGAAAATACAATGTGATATCACCTCACACGCATCAGAATGGCTATAATTAACAAGACAAAAAATAGCAAATGTTGGAGAAGATGTGGAGAAAAGGGAACCCTCATATACTGCCGGTGAGAAGGCAAACTGGCGCAGCCACTATGGAAAATAGTATGGAGATTTCTCAAAAAACTAAAAATAGAAATACCACATAATCCAGCTATCCCACTACTGGATATTTATCCAAAGAACATGAAACCAACAATACAAAGAGATTTATGCACCCCTATGTTCACTGCAGCATTATTCACAATAGCCAAGATGTGGAAGCAACCCAAGTGCCCATCAACTGATGAATGGATAAAGAAGATGTGATATATATACAATGAAATACTACTCAACCATAAAAAAAAAGACAAAATCATCCCCATTTGCAACAAGATGGATGGACCTTGAGGGTATTATCTTAAGTGAAATAAGCCAGACAGAGAAAGACAAACACCGTATGATTTCACTCATATAAGGAAGATAAACAAACACATAGACAAAGAGAACAGATTAGTGGCTACAGAGAGGACGGGGGTAGAAGAATGGGCAAAAAGCGTAAAGGGGCACATATGTATGGAAATGGATAAAAACTAGACTATTGGTGGTGAGCACGACAAAGCCTATACAGAAACTGATATATGATAATGGACACCTGAAATTACACAATGTTACAAACCAATACGACCTCAATAAAATACTTAAAAAAAAAGCATGCCTCAAAAAAGTTATAGTATCGGGGCCGGCCCAGTGACGCAGTGGTTAAGTTCACACGCTCTGCTTCTCAGCGGCCCGGGGTTTGCTGGTTCAGATCCCAGGTGTGGACATGGCACTGCTTGGCACGTCATGCTGTGGTAGGCATCCCACATATAAAGTAGAGGAAGATGGGCACGGATGTTAGCTCAGGGCCAGGCTTCCTCAGCAAAAAGAGGAGGACTGGCAGTAGTTAGCTCAGGGCTAATCTTCCTCAAAAAAACATAAATAAATTAAAAAAATTTTTTAAAAAAGTTATAGTATCCATAAAAAGGGGGAAAATAAACAAAAACAGGGCCTCAGGTATTTCTATAAATATGTATTTCCATATCTGAAACACTGTTTACTTAAAATTATGTTATAACATATATAGTATAATATAATATAAAAAATATCTGGAAGGATATTTCACCAAAACATCAACCAGTCACATCTGGAGAGATGGCTTAGTGAGGAGACAAAGAGACACTCTTACTATACACTTCTTTAATTTGAAAAAAGATGTTATAAATGAATATATGTATTGACATAGAAACATTCTATTAAGTGAAATATATAATTTACAAAATAATATCTTTTTATAAAGAAATTCATATATGCCTAGAAAATAATCTTAACTCTAGAAGGAGCTAAATGCAAGAGTCAACAGTAATTACCTCTAGGTGGCAAGATTGTGGATGTTTTCAAATGTTCTTCTTTTAGCTTACCTGTATGTTTAAATTTTGCTAGAACAAACTTAGATTGCCTTTCAATAAGAAAACACACACACACATTATTTTAAAGAATAAAATGAGAAGGTAGCCGTAGCTGTAGAGCAAATCACTCTTGTTCAGGCTTTTTCACTGGGCACCAAGAAGCAAAAGTGTCCTCCTTCACTGGCTGGCCTCTTCCTTCCCCATCACATCCACATGCTGGAACATCAATCTGCCTGAAATGCCACGGGCAACACGCCGCTCTCCTGCTCAGTTACCCTCACTGGGGTCCTGCTTTCCAAAACATCAAAGAAAAACTCCTCCGCCTGGCTTTCAAGGTCTCATGGACCTATGCAACCTGATCTCCTAACAAAGCCCCCAAAGCACCCTCTTCTTTAATCTCACTGGCCCCCTCAATGTCGTGAACTTGCCATGTTCATTCCCACCTCCACTTCCTTGCTCATGTCATTCACCTCACCTAGGATGCCCTTTTTTCCCTGTTCCTTAAACAAACGCCACCATTCTTCAAGGCCATGCCACGGCCTATATCCAGCCCCACCTCCTCAACAAAGTCTTCTCTGACCACTCTCGCCTACACTGTGATTTTCACATCACACGGTCTAGCATGTCAGGACAATGCTACCACATCCTGAGCTCCTTTAACATGTTAGAATTCAACAATGCATTTCTGGAAAGAGAGGGAAGGAGGGGCAGGGCAAGGGGAAAAGAGACATGGAAGGAAGGATAGGTTTATGCAGTACAGATGGTTCCATCAATGGAGACATGAGTCCACTGATTTGTCCCTCTCGACGCAATGAGCGTGATTCTGTGTGTGCCCACATTTGGAAATAGAAAAATTTAGAAACGCAACAGAAATATCTATTTTTCTTTTTTTTTTTTTAAGATTTTATTTTATTTTTTCCTTTTTCTCCCCAAAGCCCCCTGGTACATAGTTGTATATTCTTCGTTGTGAGTCCTTCTAGTTGTGGCATATGGGACGCTGCCTCAGCGTGGCTCGATGAGCAGTGCCATGTCCACGCCCAGGATTCGAACCAACGAAACACTGGGCCGCCAGCAGTGGAGCGCGCGAACTTAACCACTCGGCCACAGGGCCAGCCCAAGAAATATCTATTTTTCATACAACATGGCTCTCAACTGCAAGCCAACAACTTCAGCCCACAGGCAACCGAATTAACAGTGATTTCCTTCTCTGGAAGAAAACTGACCATGTTGGTTTCCAACAAGACACGGACCATGATCATGCACGCTGTGTATGGAGGGTGACTAATGGGATTTTTCACCCACTCACTGACTTAAACCTCAAACCCCTGGTATTAAGGAATTACTGAATTTTTAAGGGCATTTATGGTTATTATGGTTATACCTTTTTTTAGAAGAATCCATGTCTTAGAGACATATACTGAAATATTTACAGATGAACAATATGTCTAGGATTCACCTCATAACAGCCCAGTGGCCTATTATGAGGAGAGAGTTGGTAGAGATATAGAGAAAACAAGAGTGGCCATATGTTGATGATTGTTGCATGCGGGTGTTAAGTACATAAGTGTTCAATGTGCTACCCTCTCTACATTTGCATATTTTTGAAATTTTCCATTTAAAAAAGATTAAAATTTGTTGTCTCCTCAAGCAGGTGGTAAGTTCCTTAAAGGCAGGCCCTCACTTTGTCTTGTCCCACTTGTGTTTCTTTCAAAGTACCAACAATTATATGAACATACTATAGGTACTTCCTGACACGGCGGAAGTGGGGACCCAGGTAGGATGGCCTGCAGAGAGAAAGGCATACCTCATGATGCTGCATATCCCGTTCAGCATTCGCTCTCATGTGCCGTATTTCTTCCTTTGTGTCTTCCAGTTCCTTCTGTACAAGCTCACATTTTTGGTCGACACTGAGGCCTAGCGCACGGTCTATACCTATGCGGGATTTGGACCTACGCCTGCCTCGTAACTGTAACGCAAGAAAAACAAAGCCATTGTCACATAGGAATTGGTAATAAAGCAGCCCAACGTGGGCATCAAAATGACCACTCAGACCTGCTAGAAGTTACTCTGAATGACGGGCAGGAGAACAAACTCAAAGTGAAAGGATTCTGGATGTCAGGCCTGAGGTGATGTTTATTTCACAAATCAACCTAAGGCCCTGTGCTAAATACTTCAAAGGGAGGGCTAGGCTTGACAATAAACTGAAAATATATAAGGGAAAGCGTCTCAAGGTGGAAAGACAGTGACCCTGCTATAGACTAGCATTCAAGTCAGTGTCAGGGAAGGCCCGGGGCTCAGTGCTTTCCGAGCTGAACACAGAAGAGAAATCGCATCTTGGGCACAGTGTTCAGCAACAAACAAATAGTCAAAAATTTTCTATTTCCCATGCATTTAAGCAAAATGTCACAAGCAGGTGACCTAGGGAATGTGTGGGCCTGAAATGGGATTGTTTGGCCCTCAAAGACAGACCTATACACAGTTCTAAATTTAAAAAACTTAATTACTCATATTTGGAAATCAGGAGATTCCACCAAAATAATCCAGATTTCCAGCTTCTCTTGAAAAATCAGCTGCTCTGGCAACACCAGGCCGCCTGGCTGGCCCTTTTAGACGAGGGAGGAACTCTGCAGTGCCCACAACAGGCCCACTTCACTCCTTTATGTGGCTGGCTGGGCCTTGTAAACGTCTGAGTCCTCCAATTTAAGAATTTATGAATTGAAATAATTCATTTCAAACAAACAAAGATATTCTGGGAGAGTCGCTCCATTATTAATTGAACCTAATTCCCTTCATATTCACTTGAAAGAGAAACCTTGAAGGGGAAGAAAGAATCAAAATAGAAAGAAGGTCATATGCTACTTGGCCAAAGAGGGCACGCCACAGGCAGATACATAAAGACCACTTCCACCTAAAGGGACAAACAGAATAGAAGAATTCTTACATCTCCATTGTGTACCTGTGCAAATTCTGCTCCTGATATTTTAATTTCTGATAATGGTGGAAGTCGCTGATCCCTGGGCTCCAGTTTATTGTAATATTTCTCAAACATCTCTGTCTCAGTTTTGAGAGCAGAGTTTCCATAGCTGCAAGACAGAGGGTACCTGAGTGAGTTCTACTAACAGGAGTTTAAACCCCAAATAACTAGTACTTAACACTTACTAGCTATGTACGACCTTCTGCAAGACACTTAACCTTTTGGTACCTCAGTTCCCTCATCTGTAAAATCGGAATAACAGCACCTATCCTTTAGCACTGCGATAAAGAATGCAAAGCCTTGAGGACTTTGCATTTAGCCCGGCACACAGTAAGTGCTACTTAAGTATTTAATATTTTTTAATACATCTAATCAACCACAAAATTCAGAACACTGGGATTATATTGAAAATTGTTGCTGAGCTGAAGCTACGATTTCATCTTCAAGTATCTTCTAACCCATTTGTGAAATTCCTTCTGGATTACTACATTCTTGAAGTCACACACATCCACAATCTTCAGTTCTTTCCTCTGGGTTATGTTTCTCAAGTTCTTTTATTTCCAGCACCCAATAAATGAAGCATCCACCATAAGTTTATTATAAATGGTGAAAAACCTTTGAACAGATGGTTTTTAAACAACTAGAAATGAAAAACCTAGTTTATCCTGTATATGCCAAGATTAAGACCTTTTTAACTTCATCTATATATAACAAACATGTTATATACGTGTGTCTATAACACACATATACGTCTGCGTGTATATATATATATATATATATATATGAGAGAGAGAACAGCTTTGATATTTTCATATATTACTGAGCTAATTCTTGTTTGGTGGAATTTTAAGATTAGTGGAAAAAGCTCAGTGGAAAACCCAATAAATTACAGCGTCTTTCTTTTTCAGCATATTCAAATGTTCTGTGTGAGACCAATAAATTGTACAAATAACCTCAAGTACATCATGGACTCTTGATACCCAATTTATTTGCTATAGTAGATGCAGAATATTGGGCCAGTCACTCTTTGCCGTCCACCTCCATGCTTATACTCTGGTTCAGGCATAGATTGCCTCATACTAAAAGCATCTCAATTGCCTCCTTTCTATCCAGCTGCCACATTAATTTGGGAGGCGGGGCGGGGTGAGGAAGATTGGCCCTGAGCCAACATCTGCGCCAGTCTTCCTCTATTTTGTATGTGGGACGCTGCCACAGCATGGCGTGATGAGCCGTGTGTAGGTCTGCGCCGGGGATCTGGGCCCAGAAACCCGGCCGCCAAAGAAGAGCCCGCACACTTAATCAGTACGCCACGGGGTGGCCCCTGGCTGCCACATTAATTTTATCATAGAATGTTAGCATTGGAAAGGGGCTTGGAGGTCACCTGGTCCAACCTGCCGCCACACAGGAGAGGAGCGACCAACCACACAGTCTGGCCCCAGACGGGCCCACTGGGCTCCAGCTCCGGCTTCACCGGCTCGCCTCTGGGCTTCCCGCCAGCGGCCCCGCCCCCTCGCCCCTCCACCCTACTCCGACTCCATTAACGGCTTCTTAGCTCAGCGGCGGCGGACACACGTGGGGTAGAGCAAAGGCAAGTTCCGTCCCCGCTTTGGGGGTCTCAGTTTCCTCAACGTTCAGCGCGGACTTGGACGGCCTCCACGCGGAAGCAAGGTCCGAGCGCACAGCGGGCGGAGGGCCGCCCCCAGCAGCCGGCCGGCCGGTACCTGAGCTCTTCCACCAGCCCGCACAGCTGGATAACAGGCAGCTCGTTCTCGTCCTCGACCTGCAACTCGGACGCCGGGGTCTCACAGGCTTCCCCCGCCATCACCCTGCCCAAGCGGCCCCTGCCAACGCCGAGCGCGGCCAAGAGCGCCGGGTACCAGCGGCCCCGCGTCACTCGAGCAGCAACCTAGCTGCGCGTTGCTGGGGCGACCCGACGCGTGCGTGGGGGCGGGGCTTCGGGAGGCCCCGCCCAGCGCTCCCACGCGCCCCCCTCCTCCCCGCCCACCGCTCCCACGCCCTCCCATTCTGCCCGGCCACCTCCGGGCTGACCGGAACGAGGTGGCTGTCCTTGACCAGAACCGAAGCGCGTTCACTTTCACTTTTTCAACAATAGTTCTTAAAATGATAGTAATAGCGGCTGTTGTTTGTTCAGCACTTACACTTGCTTGGCACCGTGGTAAGCATGGTTTATGAACATCCTTGCAATAACCTTGTAATAATATCGATTATTCTCTTTATTCTCCAAATGAGGAAACTGAGGCCTGGAAAGTTAATTCGATTTGTCTGATTGTCCTCCTTCCCCTACCTCACTGTGAGGGCTCTACTCTGTGCACCACCTGGTGCTTCATACACGCTAACTGCAGTTTCTCTCAGATACCAATATCCTGCTTTCCTGGAAGAAAAAAACCTGGCTGATTATTAAATGGGTGTAAATTCAGGAGGCATTCCTAAATAGACGCTGAACATCTACTGTGTCCTGAGTATCCTGGGGGGATGTATGGAGCAGGTCATTCTGGCCCTCAAGGAGCTTGCAGTTAAATGAGGGAAATAACCCCTAACCAGCTGTTGCAACCTGGAGTGATGATAGTCACGTCATGCCTCACACTGTTTCATAGTCATCATCTCATTTGATCCTCAAACAGTCTTATGAAATTAGTATTATTGTTTTCATCTTACAGATCAGGAAGCTGAGGAATAGGGTAGCTAGGGTGAGTCACCTGTGGCCACACAGGAATGGAGTCAAGCTCTAGGGGAACCCAAATCCACGCTGTTAACTTCTACACTAATGTGTGTCATGGCAGGGATCCTCGAGGCAGCAGGGTAGCTGTCTGTCTGTTCCCATCAGGATGGGGGAGGGCAAAGAGCAGGATGGGAAACTTCTCTGAGGAAGAGTGGCCGCTGGATGTGGTTAGAAAGCAAGCTATAATAAATTGCTTGGGGTGAGGGTCAGCCACCGCCTCTGTGCCCAAGGGACGTGCGTTAGTATCAATGTATAGTCACTAAACTCCAAAGAAGGACTTTTGTTTTACTGCTGAGGGTGCACAAGTTTGAGGCCAAAGAGGAATTACTGGAGATGGTAGCAGAGAGCCCAGGCTCTGCCACCACTTTCTTCTCTCTGCTGGTGTGCCTCTGTGGGCTCCGGGAGCAACATAGACCATATTTAGAAATATTTAATAAGCTTGTATACCAGGTGATACTATATGTATGCTAGCCCCAGGAGGGCCCACAGCAAGAAGTGGCTCTGCAGCATGTCCAGGCTATGGTGCAAACAGCCCTGTCAAGTAGGCTATGTGATACAGGAGACCCTATGTTGTTGGAAATATCAGTGGTGGGAAAAGATGCAATGTGAAGCGTGAAGCAAGATCCAGTGGGAGAACCACAATGTAGGACCTGGGGCTTGGAAGAAGACCATGCAATCCACAGCAGGTAATGTCATGCCTTTTGAGAAACAGCTCCTGGACTCTTACTAGACCCTGGTAGAGACAGAACGCTTGACCATGTAACCAGTCGTAACCATGGTGAGCTGGGTTCTGTTGGACCCACCAACTCATAAAGTTGGACAGGCCCAGCTTCAGTCCATTGTAAAATGGAATTGGTTCATCCAGGATTGAATCCCAGCAAGACCAGAGAGCATGAGTGAGCTGCAGGAGCAGGCAGCCAGACCAACATATCATCCACCACACTTGTACCAGTACCCCTCCTCCAGTTCACACTTATAACCGTATTAGAGGAGGGGACAGGATCATGAGCAGCTGAAAGAGGAGGAAAGAGCCTGAGCTTGGTTTAGAGAAGCGCTGGCTTGGAATGTGGGTACAAACCAAAATGGACGGTGGCAGCATTACAACCGCATTCACAGGAGGTGCAGAAAGACAATGGAGAGGGAAAATCTTCTGCCTGGGCAGAGCTGTGAGTGGTGCACCTGGTCACCTATTTTGTGTGGAAGGAGAAGTGATCGCAAGTGAAAAGTGTCCACAGGGGACTCATCTAATGGGCAACTTTGGCTCAAGGACTCCCCATTGGCCTGGCTGAAATGTTGTTAGAATGGTGCTATAGCCTAAGAAATTTCCTCCCTCCTTTCTTTCCCAAGTATGAGACCAGCATCGTGGCCTGAAGGGTCTCCCTGTCTACTCCTGCTGCATCTACTATGTAGTCATAGGCATTTTCCCCATTAATTAAATCTCTTCATGTCTAAATCCATCCTACTTGGAGGACCCAAACTAACACAAATAATAAATTTCAATCTTAAAGATGTTATTCAAATTTAGTAACATATGACATGTATGAATTAAGATTTGCACTTATGAAACAAAAATATTATACTTGGCTGTCTGCACTCTTTCGCTGCTTTACAATTTTTTAAATTGTGGGGAAAAAACACGTAACATAAATTTACCATCTTAACCATTTCTAAGTGTACAATTCAGTAACTTTCAGTATATTCACATTATTTTGCAACCAATCTCCAGAGCTTTTTCATGTTGTAAAACTGAAACTCTGTCCTCATTAGACCATAATTCTCAATTCCCCCTTCTCCCTAGCCTCTGCCAACCACCATTCTTTCTGTCTCTATGCATTTGACTGCTCTAAATTCCTCATATAAATGGAATCAGACAGTATTTGTCTTTTTGTGACTGGCTTTTTCACTTAGCATGATGTTCTCAGGGTTCATCCATATGTAGCATGTGTCAGAATTCCCTTCCTTTTGAAGGCTGAACAATATTCCATTGGATGTATGTACCACATTTTGTTTATCCATTCATCTGTCGATGGACACTTGAGTTGCTTTCATCAGTGCTTTAAATTTTAAACACGAATAAAAATTTCAAAACTTATCAAGTAGTACACTGTTCAATATTTAAATATGTGCAGTTTGTCTATTATACTTTAATAAAGTTGAACGAACAAGTAAACAAACATGCTCTCTTCTCTACTCCAGCCTTGTACATCAAAGCACATACTCAGCATCTGCTCTTGGATGTGTAATGGGCATGTCAAACTTAACATACTCCCACCAAACTCATCATTTTCCTCCTCTCTTCAGATCTATTCTTTACCCATTCTTCCCCATCTCAGTAACTGGCAATTCCATCCTCCGAAGGATTCAGGCCAAAAAACCTGCGAGTAATCCTTGACTTAATCCTTGACTCCCCTCTTTTTCTCATCTGATCTGCCAGTAGATCTCATTGACTCTCCCGTCAGAATAAATCCAGAACTTGACCTCTTCTCATTACTACAACAACCCTGGTCCCAGCTACTATCATCTATTGCCTTAATTGTTATAGTTGACTCCTCACTGTGTAATTTGTTACATGTCAATTACACCCCAATAAACCCTGGGGGAGGGTGGGGAGAAAACAGCCAAGTCACCAAATTTCCACCTCCTTTTGTAACTCCTTCAATTCTTTGCTTAAATTAATACCTTTGCAATGACCCTTCCTTAATCACCTTAGATAGATTTGAACCTCCTTCCTACCCTCTCCCCATGCCACTCTTGGTATTCCCTATGCTTTATTTTTTCCCATAATGCTTATCATAAATAAAATACCATATATTTTAATTATTCATTTCTTTTTCTTTCTCCCCCAGCCACACCCCACCCCCTGCCAACTAAACTATGAGCTCCGTGAAGGCAAGAACTTTGTTTTGCACACAGCTTTATCCCCAGCACTTAAAACAGCATCTGGCATATAGTAAATGCTCCATAAATATTTGTTGAATAAATGAAAGAATGTGAAGGCAGAATTGTGAGGGGCTTAAGAGCTCGAGCTCTGTGATCAAACAGACTCAGGTTATAATCTGGGCATCGTCACTCTTTTGTTGTATGAGTGGCTCTGGGCAAATCCCTCAATACCTCTCTCTCCTAAGGTTTCTTCCTCCAGAAAAAGGTGGATGCATGTGATAAATACCTATCTTGTGGGTGGCTGGGAAGATTCACTAAGACAGAGAGGAGCTGTAGAAGAGAGGTAACAGGAGATATTGTTCTTGGTCTAGTTCTGACACTGAATTGCCACTGTCTTCCCTCCACTCCCACCTGGAGAGGACAGTAAACCTGGGGACCAGCAAGGAGGCCATCGAGCTGGCAGCTGAGAATTCTCAGACTCTAGGGAGGAAGGCCAAGTCAGCTGGGCCAGCCTCCTTCTTCTATGCTTAAATCAGACATTGGATACTCCCCCTGAGGTGGGCTGGGAAGGAAGGAAAGACGCAGACTGTTCCGAAGACAACCTTCCATGCTCTGCTCCATTTACCTCCTTCCATTTGTAATCCAGAATCCAGTTTTGCCTGGTAGATGGCAGCAGGTTCCTCTCCCCGGGATGGGTGGGTGTAGGTGGTCTCACAAGAGTACAGCCAGCTTGGGTCAGCTGATGCCACGTTCACCGGCTCTCTCTGCACATCCCCCCCCCCCCCCCCCCCCCTCGTCCCGCCCCCAACATCGATGCCCTTTAAAAAGCCAATTAAATCACATCAACTCTGCTTTCATCACACCTCTTTGTGAGCACCAGTTATCTGGACAGCTCATTTTCAGAGAACATGAATTACTAGATTCAATTATCTTTCAAGGCTATCTCCTCTTCCCACCCCCTCCTCAGTCCTGGCAGTTTAGCAAAGTTGGTTTGTTTTGAAACAAGCACAGGGAATACAAAGGGCACAGTCAAGCTGTTCAAGCTTCCTGCTGATGGCAGAAGAGTTCACACGAGTGTAGTCCATCATCACATCAACTCCTCTCCTGTGCTGCTTGCTGATTCTCCCTCCGCCCCCTTCACATCACCATCCCTCCATCTTTGTGCTAACGGCACTCCTCCCACAACTTTATCCCTCTCTTCTCTATGTCCTGGGAGGCGGGTTCCTACGGACTCCATTTCCCAGGCTCCCTTGCTGGTTGACTTCCGGCTGCTTTCAGCCAATAAGAGGCGCCCACAGGAG